TGTTGGTACGTCAACAAGTGGAGAGTGTCTACTCACCGATTCCGCTCCTGCCTTTGCAATGGGGATTGTTGCGTCCTGCACTTTGATCTTGGTGTCCAGCTCAGGAATTTCGGTGTCCTTTAGCCGGTCCCTCGAGCTTAGGACGGGCCGCAATTTCTGGAGTCTTCCCACTTCCCCCTCCCACTCCTTCAACTCCTCTTGAAGTGCGGCTACAGACTCCGGCGACGACTTTTTCATCTGCTCCTCCAACTGGGATAGCAAGTCAGTAACAGCAAAAGACCGGGGATACATTGCCTACAATTTTCTCGAACACAACCATCTGGTGATTGTCCAGGTGACGGTTACACGTCGTACACACGTTCCGCTGCTTTCCTACACGGAGTAGCCCCTCCCACACTTGGCTGCTCCCAGATGTCGTAAGTGCAATACTGCGCGGAATCGTCAGCGTGAATTCAAGGTCGGCCAACACGAGACATGCGCTTTCCGATGCTCAACCTCCTTGCTGGCTTCATCCAGTGCAGCGTCCAAGGTGTCATGCTCGAGGTCGGTCTTGAGCTGCTTCTCCAAACCTGGAATATCGGTTCAAGTGTTGAACAGCAGGCCATCGAGTGTTGCAGACCTTTGAGCTCATCCTTCTTCGACCGCAATTGGGTCTTCAGACTGCTCAACAAGCTCTGTGCTTGTTGTAAATTACTGTTCGAACTAGCGGCTTCGGCCTCGACGTCGCCGAGTTCCTGCTCCTTTTCACTGAACCCGAAGAAATATGAATAATGTTACAACGGCCAAGGATTGCGGACTCACCCAAGCACACGGTCTACCTCGCGCTCCATTGTGTCTTGGTTGGGTTCGGCGCCGACCAGGCGACGGAAAGCGCTGTTCGCGTTCGAAAGACTGTTGAGAGGCGATTAGAGGCCGTGTCTCCAAAGGAATGATTACCCACGTCATATCGATTTCTGCCGTCCTGCTTTTGACATCGGTCCTCTGGATATCCAGCCTTGTACGTGATTCCGACTGCATGTTGAGCACCTTGAACTCCGAGTTCAACGCATCACGCCTCTCCTCAAGCTCTTTCGTGCTTGCTGTCTTGTCCGCCAAACGTTGATCATACTGGGCGGCCACAATGTCAGCTTGAACCTTTGAGAGTCTGCTTCGCTTTTCTTCGATTTCCTCTGTCAGAGTGAAAAGTTCTGACGGAAGATTTTGAGTTGCGTCAAGCTCTCGTTCAGCGAGACTGATTGAGGTCTGATTTTTGCTCTGAGATACAGATATTAGTCCGTGAGACGGTCAACCACACGAGATAAATACTCGTACAAGCTGGTTTTGGAGCGAAGTTCGCTGTGCCTTGGAGGACTGCAGGGCATTATTCAACTCTGTGGACTTGCGAGTGAATTCTTCCGACTTCTGGCGACCTTCTCGCTGGAAGGGAATTAAATTGGTTGTGAGTGCAAAGGAGAATCAAGTACTTGAAGGGTTTCAACCACTAATCGTTGTCTCCGGTGCAGATCCTTGAGCTTTGAAATGAACTCGAGGACTTGGGCTGCATCTAGGCCGAGCGAACTGTAACCTTTGATCTTGAACTTTTCGCTGATTTTCTGAATCAGGGTTTCCCTCTCGGACAGCCGTTCTTGTTGGGCCTGGAGGAGTATGAGCAATTACGCAGCCACAACTTTGGGTAGTGCAGCACCTCGAATTCAGCTTTAAACGTCCCTTGCTCCTTGGCGAGCACTGTGTGCTGTTTCCGGGCCCCAAACAACTCCTCTTCAACCCGGTCAGCCCTGCTCTTTTCGGCGTTGAGTTTCTGTCGGGGTAGCTGCAGGTCACTGTCAGCGTTGTTCAGCTTGGCTTCAAGTTCGGTGTCCGTGCCTGCATGCCTTCAGCTTTCCTGACTTCCGCCGACAACAAAACTTACCGGGAATTTCCTGAAGGTTAGACTGGGCCTCTTTCAAATCAACTTGAATCCGGGCCATGCTCGCTTCGGCATTTTCGACTCGGATGTAGACCTCGCGGAAATGAGTGGCATATTCGTAAAACTTCTGGTTCGAAACGACAAGCTCGTCGTAGGCCGTCTTGGTCTCATCGTGCTCGACCTCCTTGGCAGCAATTACTTGGTTGAGATTGGCGATACGGGCTCTTAGTTTATTCGCGTGCACCTTCTCACGAAATAGCCCGTCGAGACGTTCTTTCTCGGTTTTCAGCTCCGCCAAGCGGTCTTTGCGCAAGGACTTGATCGAATCGACGGCTTTGGTGTATCTAAAACGGATGAGAGAGAATGTGCGCATCTCAGATCCAAGACGCACTTCGTAGCTTCAAAAATGTCATCGAATTTCTTCTTCAACGCTGCAGGTTCGGAGAGCGGCCAGTACGAATCCTCCTGGTGACAAAAAATGACGTTCTCGAGAACCGCCTTGGAGACGCCAAGTAGCCGGGGTATCGCTGCATCCATATCTGCACTTTTGGCTGATATAGTGCGCCTCTGAATTCAGTTTGGCCATGTGGAGCTGGGACCAATAAAAGGAGACTCACCTTACTGCTCGGACTGTGTTCGGGTTCATCACCCACCACCAAGGTACTTCCGAGAGTTTTCATGGCCAGGTTGCCAGCCTTGTTAAACGCTACACTCAGATTGCGCGTTGCCACCATGCTGGTGCCATTGGCAGCGGAAAATCGGAGCTTGACCTCGGCCTCGACCTCATTCTCGTTGGCGAGGTTGGGGTCGTGGATGAAAGCACCGCCGCGAGTGTTCGGAGGCTGGTCCCCGGTGGTAGCGTACTTGAGACATTCGATGATAGTTGTCTTGCCGCTACCATTGTGGCCGACGATGACGGTGACTGGGGAGTCAAACATGATCTTTGCAACGTGCTTGTCGTCAAAAGAGCGGATGCCTCTGATATCCAGCCGGCGAAGAGAGGCCATTGGGCGTCGTGGAGGTAGGAAGTGTGTGGACACCGTTACGGCAGGCGTCTTGTCAACTTGGACGTCTTCGCACTGGCATCGGCTACGGATAACAAGAAGGACCAAAACGGGCGAGGGATGCCCAACCACCATTTGCCTTGCTCCGTTTTCCTGCTGGATTGGTTGAGGAAGGTATGACTCGTGCCGCCTACCGGACTAGTGACCTTGCAAACCTGATGAGAAGAAGGCTATCATTGAGTGCGCTCCTGAGATGGCAAGTTTTACCCACGGTTCGATTTTGCATCTCCGCCTTGGCAGGCAACTCTGCTGGCCCAGTAACCGCTCGCGAGCCATTCAAGGGATACAGACACACCAAGTTCCCTCCCTACTGCTCACCGCTCCCACGAAGGTGCTTGCTGAATCCACGAAACAAGATTCCAAATCACCAGTGTTTAAGCTCACCCAACCTCACTGTTCGGGGTTTCTTTCTTGGATCCATTGAACCTGTCCGAGTCCCAGTCTGCTCAGACTCACAAAGGCCAAAAGGACACCCCGCAAGGTCATGGGTTTGAACCAAGGAATTCCACTAGGTGGCACGTAACCAGACACACACCGGGCCTCTTCCAGGTTAGTTCTCAGCTTGGACACACCCAGATTTTACTGCCAAATCTTCAGTCTATGGTAGGCTTATATCCCATTCAACTTGAGGGCTGTCAGATCCCAACCACGGCTTTGAGTTCCTTTTGCGGGACAGGTTGAACGGGAATGGCAAAAAAACACCGTGATGGCTCGCACCGAGGGCCCGACCTGGATTCGAACCAGGCAAATCTGCACACTGAATTGGGCACCTACAAACACCTGAAATGTAAACGCGCACCACGGACAACCGAAACTCTTCCAGGTGGGTTTGCCGACTGGATATATCCCATTCCTCTCAAATTCTGAGTCTAGAAATAGCTTGTTCAACTTGATGCCACGTCTAACCGGCAGGGCTCTATTAAACCAATGGTTCGACTTGCGCTTCTGTGGGCACTGGGACCAAGCCCGTCGGGTTAGAAACGGGTATCCTTGGAAGGTGCGTGTTTGGACGGGCAAAACACAAAAAACTGCGTGCCGTGCACAGCAAGGCCCGACCTGGCTTCGAACCAGGTAACTCTGCTTGAACATCATGCCCCACTCTCTAACATGAAATGCAGAGGCGCACCACGCGCGACCGAGTCTCTTCTAGGTCAGTTCGCAACTTGGATACAGCCCACTTCTTCTGGTATTTCGAGTCTGACTCCGAATCTGTCAACTTTCCAACCACTGGTTCAATTTCCCTTTTCTCCACCCAGGCCTTCTGCTGCATCCAAACTCTGCATTGAAGAAACTGAGAAGCAGCTACCGGAATCGAAGTAATGCCCGCTCACGATCACACTCGCAAGACGCGGCAGTCTGGCAGAAACACCCACACAAAAAAACTAGTCTCCAAGCACCAAAGACCCGACTTGGATTCGAACCAGGCTAATCTGCTGAGACGAAACGCTCGAGGACATGAAATGCAGACGCGCGCCACGCGCAACGAGGTCTCTGCCAGGTCAGTTCACAGCTTGGATATTCCTCGCACATTCGGTAATATATCTTATTCAACTTGATGACCATCAGACTCAATTAAACCATTGGTTTGACTTCCGGTTAGAGGACCCTCCATTCGTCAGGTTGAGAACGGAACCGACGAACTGCGGCAAGGTACTTATAATCGGGAGAAAAGTTAAAAAACTGATACACCTCAAGCAAGGCCCGGCCTGGATTCGACGGCCTGGATTCGAACCAGGAAAGTTTGCTTATACCATTTGGTCCCGGGCGATTAACTGCAGACGCGCACCACGCGCAACCGAGCCTTTTCCAAGTCAGTTCACAGGTTAGGTACACCCGGATTCCGAGTCTGAAAACAAGTCGTGGTCAGGCCTGAAAACCCAAGTTTCCAACCATCGGTACGATTTCCCTTTCTCCACCCTTCTGCTGAATCCAAAGACCATTGAGACCCCCTCCAGAATCAGTTAAAACATGAGCTTTTGCCGGATAGAAAAAATGCGAGGTTGCCAAGAAAAATCTAGATCTCCTGCCTAAGGCCCGACCTGGATTCGAACCAGGCAAATAAATCTGCATGTTCAATTTAACACCGAAAGAATTATGAAATGCAGACGCGCACCACGCGCAACCGAGCCTTTTCGAGGTGATTTCACAGGTTAGATACACCCTAGATCTTCTGCTCCATCCCATCCCAGGCTGCATACCGTTGATTGCGGTCCTGAGCATCCTGAGATAATTCCATTTTCAATTTTCCTATCCTCCATCCACACTCCTGCTGCAGCGTTGGAGAAAATCAGAATGCTCGCTCGCTCACGATCACACTGGCAAGACGCAGAAGGACCAAAAAGAAAAAGAAAGATCTTACCAGTCGAAGACCCGACCTGGATTCGAACCAAGCTAATCTGCTTACACCTCAACATCCAATGCGCATAAAGTGCAGACGCGCGCCACGCGCAACCGGGTCTCTCCCCTCCCCTCCTCTTGTCCGCACCTCCTCACCCAGCCCTGACCTGTTCACTCGCAAGGCAAAGACGCAAGGTAGGCAGAATTAAAATATTAACCAATAGCTAGCGGTTACTTACAAATATGTACAGATCGTGCAGTTCGTGCAAAGGTCATGGGCGAGTCGTAGGTATGTATGTATCTAAATATGCGAGCGGGCGTATGAGGAGGGGAACGGAATAAAAATCGTATCTGGTCGTATGGAGTCGTGGATGGGATTAGTTGTGAGATATGCATGAGGGATGGGGCCAGACGAAGGGATGCGGGTGATCGTGATATATGATACAATACAATGCGAGATGGAATGCGCGGAAGAGGCGAAGAGTGGAAGAGGAGAGAGAAATCCGGATGAATATGAGGTATGAATGTATCTGATATGTGTGTATGAGGCAGGAATATGCGAGGCAGGAATATGTGCGGGTTATATGTGTGTGTGCGGCGATAGGATGTGCGGTGCGAGCCAAGCCAGATTGATAGAATGTGCGTGCGTGCGTGCAATACGATGGAGAGTTGTTGTGTGCATAGCGAAAGAAAAGAAAACCTGCAGGCAAACGCATCATCAGTGTCGTTCCTCCAAAGCCAACAAAAGAATGCGGACGACGTACCAGATTATATGGTCTGTGTGCGTAGCCAGGAAGACGAAAACGAAACCGAACGAAACCCCTACACCCTACGCCTCCCCCCCGCACCTGCCCCATTCGCATTCCCATTCCCAGCAACAAGCACCCCCAACCACCCAAAAAAGCTCATCAAAAACCTTACCAACCACGCCCCGTCCGCGCCCAGACCCAGTCCGGGGCGGAGCTGCATCGCGAGGGCGGCGTCGAGGGGGGAGCGGCGGGGGCGTAGCTCGGGCTTCGTTTTGGTTACGGCTTGCGAGGTGCCGTCTGTGGTAGCGGAGTGCGCGTTGTCTTTGGCTTGCGCATCTTTATCTTGCGCAGCGATGGAAGCAGCGGAAGAGGACGGGAAAGCGCCGGGCACCCACCCCGCCTCCCACTCCCTCAAATCCCACTCCCTCTCCTTGACGGCGCTACTGACCGCGCTATTGAGGCTTTCGCGCAACGCGCCGTTGAGGTTTTCGCGCACCGCGCTATTGAGGTGCAGCGTCGAACTGGGCAGCCCCAACGCGGGCGCAGCCGCCGCGCGGCGGGACCATGCCGGCGTGGCGCGGGGGCGGAGGACGAGTGCGAGGGCGCGCGGGGAGGCGCCGATGTCCTCCTCGTCGTCTAGGTCTGAGGACGACGAGGAGGGTGATTTGGGAGGCGGGGATGATGGTAGATGTAAGGAAGACGACGGTGAGGAGGACGCGGGGGAGGCGAGGTCCTGCTCCTCGATGTCTTCGTCGACATCAAGAGCGAGAATTGGGGCGCGTACGGCGAGTAGAGGCGGCGTAGGCATCGGCATCGATGGCAACGCCAACTCCTCCGGGTCCTCGACGTCAACGTCCGCGGGACCGAGGTCGAACCGCGCGCGCACGGGGGTGGTGGAGGGCAGGGGAAGGTCGGCGGGGTCGTCCACGTCCGCTCGTTCGTCCGCGTCCGCATCTACGTCAACGTCCGCTTGCTCGTCGGCAGCGTCACCGCGAGCGAGCGAAGAAGGCAACGCGTCCATAACGGCGGTGCCGCGAATGGGCGAAGGCGAAGCGGGGGGCGCCTCCACTTCCACCTCGGCTTGCTCGACGTCTGCGGCGTCCACGTCGGAGTCTGCCTGCTCATCGACTGCGTCTCCGTCTGCGTCTGCGTCCATAACGATGGCGCCGCGAGTAGGTGAGGGCGAAGGGGGGAGCGCGTCCTCCACCTCCCCATCTGCCGACTCCACTGCGTCCTCCACTGCCGCCGCCTCCGCTTGCTCGACATCGACATCCGCGTCTACATCCTCCGCGCCGTCGACCACCTCCGCGACCGCGCCCGCATCCATCTGCTCTACTTCCTCCCCCACTTCCCCCCCATCCACCTCCACCTCTGCTTCGTCTACTCCCGCCGCCTCCACCTCTACAGCCGGCACATGCGCACGAGCAGCCAATGCAGGCAACCCATCCACCCACGCCACGAGCGCCGTGTGCGCCTCCTCGTCCCTACCCTCTCCGTACTCGCGCGCGTGTGCGTGTAGCAGCGACGCAGGCAGTGGAGGCACCTCGCCCGCCCACTCTTCCTCGCAGTCGTCGTCGGCGTCGAGCCCGAAGTCGGATTGCGAGTATGAAGACGAGGATGAGGTGGCAGCGCGAGTGCGGGGGAAGAGTAGGCGGGGTGCGGGTGCGGGTGCGGGGGCGGCTTCCACTTCTACCTCTGTGACGTCGGCAACGTCGGCAACGTCTACCTCGGGCTCCTTAACCTTCCCGTCCTCTACCTCACCCTCGACGTCCACCACCTCCGCCACCTCCACCTCAGCCTCCTCGCCCTCCACCAGCGCCGGAGAACGCCCCGCCGGCGAAGACGCCGGAGGAGCGGGGTGCAACGCCCGCACCCCCGCCAGCAGCGCGTCGATCGCGTGTGCGCTTGGTAGTCCTGCCTCCTCTTGTTCTCTTCCTAACTCTTCGCCTTCGTCTCCAAATTCTTCTTGTTCTGCGTCCACAGGGAAGGAGGGCGGTGCGGGGAGGTCGATGTGCAGCGCCGGAGCGTTGGGCTTCGTGGTGTCCGTGGTCGTGACGGGCGAGCGCTGCGCGGGCTCCTCATCGACAGCGCGGAAGTCGTGGTCTGCGGGGTCGACGTCGGCAGCGGGGCGGAACTCGTCGTTGTGTGCGCGGTCGGTGGCGACGGGGAGGAGGAGCGGGGCTGCGTGCTCGGGTGCTACCACCATGGATTCGGGCTTGGACGGCGACGACGGCGCGACCGGCTCCTCCTCCTCTACGTCCTTCGACGCTACAAATTCCAATTCCGCTTTCGACGACGCTAACGAAGGAGACGACGCCAGAGTGGTAGAGCCAAGTGCGAGCCCGACGAACGCGGACCCGGGGCGCGCCGTGGCGGGCGAGGGGAAGGTGGGCGAGAGCGGCGGGGAGGGGAGGTGCGTCTCGTCAGACCTCTTGACATCGTTCGTGAAGGCGGGCGAGGTCGGGAACGACGACGTAGGCGTGGGCTTGAGCGGCGGGTGGGCGCGTGCCCAGGCGGCGGGGGAGGGCGGGACGGAGACGTCTACCAGCGCGTAGTCCTCCGCGTCACCCGCGTGCGAGACGTCTACCAGCTGGGCGTGGGTGTGCGAAGAGGAATGCGAGGAGGAGGTGTGGGAGATGGAGGAGATGGTCCCCCAGCTTGCGCCGAGGTCGACGAGCGGGACGGCGGTGGGGTCGGCGGGGAACTCGGCGAGGTAGGGACTCGGGGGGTGGAGGGAAGCGGATGCGCTGAGGGAGGGGGAGGCGGGCGCGGATGCCAGGGGCGTGTAGTGTGCGCTGGAGGCGAAACGAGGCAGGACGGGCCCGCCGAGGGTCTTTGCGCGTCGTCCCAGCCCCAAACCCAGGCGGTCGCCGATGCCGCAACCGAACAGCCGCCCTTTGGAGCGGGCGCGGCCGCGGCCTCGTCCGCGTAAGGACGAAGGCGGAGGAGGAGTTGGGTGGAGTGCGGTTGTGCTGGCGGTGGTTGGGAGGACGGGTGGGCTGCGGCTGGGGTTGTGAGCGATGTAGAGGCGTTTTATTGGGAGGTAGAAGGCGGCGAGGATGCCACGATCTAATTTACCCGACGGCCCGCTTGATCCGTGAAATAGGGGCACTTCAACTCAACTTCAACTTCGTTAGTGAGAATCGGGTTCGCAATTCTTGACTTGGCAAAGCTAGTATGCTGGACTGCCGTACCAATTCATGGCGACGCGGAGTTCTTTGGACCAAAATTCAACCACGTCGTCTGATTTTGTTCGGCCTTCTTGCTATGAAATAAATCGGGTGCGTGATGCACGACGGCTGTTGGTAGAGGAAAATATTGTAGTATATGCCGTTCCCGGTGTTCGACTCCCCCCACCCGACTGGCAGGGCGGTCCAATTTAGTGTTCGTTACTCATTTCCACCGGGTTCTTTAACCCGCACCAACCGACGGTGACTGTCTGGTCTTCCAACGCGGCAGTCCATGATGCGAGGTATTAGTTCAACTTTGGAAACCGAAGGGAATTGTTTTTTTTCTCGGCATTTCCGCGGCATTGAAGAATTCCCCTGTGAACAGGTTAGTCCTTGGAGGTGTATCTCGGGTGTGGTGCAAGGTGCGGCAGCAACACAGTGTCTGTTATTTGAAACATTAGGCTGCAGTTTGGGTATGGCATTGTCCATTTTTTGTTGCCTCGCCGACGGTGCGGCTACTTGTTTTACATAATTGGTTAGTAGGAAATTTGGATTTGGATAGGTTCAGAGAATTAAACCAAGGCCGTTTCGGGTGAGTCACCGGCCAGTAAGAACGAGTCAACAAGCATTGCGTCGCAAAATTGAACCAGGATTGAACCAAGGCCACAACTCGGGTGTGGTGCACGGTGCATAGCAGTGCTTTATTCGTCCTCTCGGAGTTTAGGCTGCAGCTCGGGGTTCAACTCCCCGTACGCGAATAGGGACGTATTGAGAATGCTTTTGGGTTTGGATCTGGGTTTTCTTGGCCTCGTCAACTCGTCGTGCGGCTGCCGCGCTTCCTTCACTAAGGATTTGAATTTGGAAACCAAAGTA